CCGCGCCGTGCCCCCCGAGCCCTGCGACCCTGCGCTGCGCTGGTGGCGCGTGGAGGAGGAGAGCCTGAGGGGTCGCATCCTGCAGAGGGTCCGGGCAGCGGTGCCCGTGCGCAGTTAGTGCCCGGAGAGGCAGGATTTGGGCACGGGGGGAGGGGGGGAGATGCATCGTGGGGTCCTGCTGGCTGTGCTGAAAGTGAGAGCACCAGGATGTGCTGCCCGGGGAGCTGTGAGGAGAGGCTGAGGGAGCTGTGGCTGTTTAGCCTGGAGAAGAGGAGGCTCAGGGGAAATGCATGGTGCTGTGCCATGCTCTGAGAGCAGAAATAAACGTGGCTGCTGCTGCTTCCATCCATCCACCTGCCTGTGGCTGAAGGGGGGGTACGGGGGGGAGCGTGGTAGGGATGGCAGAGGCACAGGATGTGGTGCTGAGCTCACAGCTTTATTACAGCAGAGTCCCATCACCCAGGGGGAGGTGCCCAGCTGTGCCAGGGTTGGGGGCACCGTCCCCCACTAGCACACACACACAAAAACGCACATGAACACACGTGCACACACCCCTGTACTGCAGCACTGGGGGCACACAACGGAGTTCTTGCAGCTGAGGTTGGGGGGCACTGCCCCATGCACCCCATTATTGCCCAAAAGTCTCTGCTGGAGCTTGGGGGGGGCTCAGGGCAACTCCAACGGTGGGCAGGGGGAGCAGGAACCCATCACCCAGCAGTACCAATTGCTTTGCACCCAGCGGGGCCACATCCTGCCCAGGGAGGTGGTGATGGAGGATTCAGCACCTCCTGCTCCTGTGAGGTCCTCCCTGGGGTGCCACGTCCACCCCTGGTTATGGGGATGTGCCAGTCAGAGTGGGGCCACTGGAGGCTACCAGCATGTGGGTTTGGCCATCCCAGTGACCACCACAGCCTGGGTAAAGAGGGGGAGCTCAGCAGGGGGCTCAGGGAGGACCCTCTGGTGGCCCCTTGACCAGGGCAATAGCAGCCAACTCCTTGCAGAACTCCTCCAGCACCACCACCCCCTTGAAGAGCACCGTGTGGTCCATCCTGTGGGGAGAGATGAGCCATGGGGGGATTCCCTGGGGTACAGCCCACCCCCTCAGGAGGGCACCCCCCATCCCCACGCCCCCCCAGCACTCACTGCTCTCCAGGCACCAGCCCCAGGAGCTGCTGGCGCACCAGGAGCAGCTTGGCCCTGGAGTGGGGAACGCGTTGGAGCCTCTGCATCAGCTCCCCAATCACCTGCAGGAGGGGGAAAAGGCTCAGAACACATGTGGAGAGGTGTCCCCATGTCCCCCTACCCCAGTGGGTGACATTACCCTGACGAGGACGGAGAAGAGCGAGCGGCAGCCAGGGGCCAGGCCGGGGTAGGGGGGCACAGGGGATGGGGGAAGGCAGCCAGGTGGGACAGCACCGAGGTCACCTGCAGGTTCAGGCTGTAGGGCTGTGATGGGGGGGATGCTCAGGAGATGGTGTGTGGCTGATTCCCCACACCAGCATCCCCTCAGAAGGGTCCTGAGCCCATCCCCAACTGATGCTTTTGGCCACTTTGCCCTCACTATGGGGTCCCAGGCCCTGACACCCACTATGTGTGTCTTGGGGGGACACCAGGCTGGTAGGAGCCATGGGAAGCCAAAGCATCTGCTATTCCAACACCCCCTCAGCCAAGACAAGGGCTGTGCCAAGGTGAAGGGCACAGCCAGGTGGGTACTCATGCTGAGTAGCACCCAGGTACCTGGTCCAGGATCCGAGTCATCCGGTCAAAGAGCACCTTGAGGAAGTGACCCTCATAAAAGGTCACCTCGGGGTGGCAGCAGTCGAGGGGCTGGGGGGATGAGGGCCACCCCCACGGGGCAGCCCTGGCACGGCACGCTTGGACCTGGCAGGGGGGTGACAGCAGGTGAGCCCAGAGCAGGGACCACCCCCAGGAGGATGGGACCCCCCCAGGTACCCACCATGCCCAGGGCATCATGCACATAGGTGTCATAGCCTCCTTCCTCCATGCACGACGAGGTCTTGGCCTCCTCTGGGACCAGGCAGAGGAAGCTGGAAGAGAGGGGAGAGGGATGGGGAGGAGGATACAGCCCCCCGTGCCAGGGCAGCCCCTCCAAATCCTTACCTGCTGACCACCTCACTCACTTGCCCCTTCTCCAATGGGGCTGATCCTAGGGGAGACCTTTTTGGCGACCCAAATCCAGTGTCTGGGAATCCATCTGTGAAATAGGGATCCTCCTCCAGGTCCCTGCAGGGTGAGCACAGGGCTGTTAGCAGGGTGGGCACTGAGGGCAGCCCCCCCTGCTCTGCCCTGGCCCCCCTCACTCACAGCCCATCCTCGTCAGGGTCTGTGTCGGGGGGTCCACGCTCCTCGGGCGCGTGGGGGCTGCGCTGCAGGTAGCCCCTGGTCTCCAGGTTCCTCAGCACCAGGTTGTGTGCCACGTGCTCGTGGGGCTTCTGCAGGAGCTCCTCAAACAGCCTCAGGCTGGCCAGGCTGATCTGGGCAAGGCAAGCAAGGTGAGACCCCCCCAGCACCTCCCTGTCCTCCCACCCCCAGGCTGATCTGGGCATGGCAAGCAGGATGAGACCCCCAGCATTACTCCCCAGCATCCCCTGTCCCCTCATCCCCAGGCTGATCTGGGCAGGATAAGCAGGATGAGACCCCCAGCATCTCCTGTTCCCTCACCTCCA